CTAGTGTTGTAAATAATTGAAATTTGTAAATAAACTATCATTCAGGCATCATTGACCGCATTTTTTCTGTTTCCAGTTGTACTGGTAATCTTGGTTTACGTGTCTCTCAACAATTTATTTTGGAAAAACCCTCCAGTTTTCAAATTCCATGACCCAAGTTGACTCCCAAGCAACGGACCCATGGAAAGATACTAGACCTACCGAGGAATATCGTGAGGCAGTACGATATAAGCTACAGCAAGCAAAAGAAGACCTAAGACGATCATACGAACCTGAACCTAGAAAAATTCCTTTACACGAAAAAATATGGAAAAGTTCTATTAGAGGTTTTACGGTATGTCGTCCTAGAGGCACTAGGTTTCTAGGTCTCTGAGCGTATTTCCAAAGGAACAGACTGATTGGTCCAGCCAGCCGTGGCCGACCAGCCGCGACCGACCACGGCTACGATTCCACAAACCACTGATAAAATCTTTGGGAATATCCAGAAATCATCAATCACAATCTAAAAATTCCAGCCGCCATTTCCAACCTCTGTCCAGTTGGATATACCGTAATCTCAAGCGGTGACTGTTGCCCAACATCCTCCGTTGCCACATCCACCACATCCACCACCTGCGCGGACAAGACCAATGCTCAAGGAGTCAACGAGTGTCCCGGATTGAAGAGCTACTGTAACAACAGTCTCTACAAACAATTGATGACTGAACAATGCGCCAAGACTTGTGGATTCTGTAAGTCCCCTTTCGACAGATCAATTTTGACAGATCGAAATGAATGCCTTATTCTTCTTCAAATTCTATTCCAAATGTTCCAGGTAGCCCATCCAACACCTGCCAAGACCTGACCAACCCCAACACTGGAAGATCTGATTGCGCTGCCAACGCCAACAAGTGTAACGATAGCCTCTACAGAGAAATGATGAAGACTCAGTGCCCAAAAACTTGCGGATATTGCAAATAATTTCTCTTTAATTCAATTTAATGTCCTGTGTAGTATCGGTAGAGTCTGAAAAATAAACAGCTTCAATCACGCAATTTTGGTGAAATCGAACATCACAAGGTCAAAATATGAAAAACGCCTCTTTTATTAGACACTATGAGTCATTTGGCATCTGTTTAAACATTCAAAAGCAAACATTTTATCTCAATCGTTCCATAAATGTCTCCATAAAAGAGGCTTATAAAAGGGATGACAGTTATTATTGTTTTTAATTTTCACAAAAAATGATTCAAATTCTAATTTTGGCCCTTTCCATCGTCACAGTTACTATGCAGCAGTTGGCATGCGAACCAGGATATGCTATCGGAGGTAATCTGTTTTTAATTTTAAGAAAACTGTCATCTCTTGCATGCAGAACGTTTTTTAATCGTTTTTTCCTTGGAAAAAATCTTTAAACTTCGATTTAGAGCTTTTAAGGATCAAAAATTTGAATTCTACGCCCTTGAAAACCTATGTATCCACTCAGGATTCGAAGTTGTCTGCCTTCTGCTCTAAAGCCAGACCTCTTACCCACTGCGCTAGCCGCCTCGAGGAGCCGCGCGCTCGCCGTTAACCCTGACGGGATATATAGGTTTTAACCCTGACGGGATATATAGGTTTTTAGGGTGTTAAACTCTATTTTTTGAGTTTCAAGTGCTGAAAATAGTGCTGGAAAGCTCTTCTTAAAGGGAAAAATATCCCTAATTTTCAGAAGTCCCTGCTTTTAGCGGAGGCTGCCCTCAAGGATACATCAGAATCTCAGAGGGATTGTGCTGTGAAGACGATCATATTGAATACACGACATGCGTTGATCAACCCAATAAGCGCGGAGTGAATGAGTGTCCCGGACTGCAGGAATACTGTAACAATAGTTTGTTCAAAAAAGTTATGATGATCAATTGCCCAAGAAGTTGTGGATTTTGTACATAGCTTTTGTGGTTTTTTTTGCAGAAATTTTCAGTGATTTGATAATAAATAAAAACAGGTATTTCGGAAGTCAAATCTTTATAAAAACGAATAAATTACAAAATAATAAAAATCAAAAACAAGGAAATAAAGGCGCATTTTTCTTTGATTGATTCCGGAAAACACCTGATTTCAGGATTCTATTTTCGATATTTTTTCAGGTGATAAATTTTCTGAGTCAGTAAAAAATTGAAGTTCGAAATGTTTCCTGATATTTGATGAAATGTCCTTTATCATATCAACTGATCAGCTTCCGTCAGCCAACAATTAACCTAACATATCCGATTATTATGTATCCTATGATTACGCATTTCGAAAACCTTTGATTTTTTTTCTCGCAATTTTCTGATCGTGTTTTTCCCAACTTCCTAGACACCTCCTTCCGACACATACAACTTTGTGATTTTTTATTAATTTTTTTTTCATTATATTAGAAAATCACCCAGAAGTTCAAGGCCAGAATGAATGTCTCCAACGTGATAGAATCTGAATGCGATTCGTCATACAATCCGTTGTTCGAGAATTTGTTGTATTTGGGAACAGCTGCTTATATGGTGGCTGGTCTATTTTTTCACATTTCCATACTGAAAACGATTCTGGTAACGGAGAGAAGCTATTATAAGGATAACTCATTTTTCATGTTGTTTGCCATGGATTCGATTGCGGTGGGTAGAAAGTTCTGGAATTGTTTTTAAAGGTGGGGGGACAGGAGATTTTACGGGGGATTTTTGGGGCCAGAGTATGCATTCTACCGTAACGGTGTACAACGCCTAATGTCACTCTGCGTACAGCTGTCGTCCTCGCCTTTATGTATGCAATCGGGCGACCGCTTTCTCTTTGCCCGTGTAGCTCAGTCGGTAGCGGCGCCGCACCCACAATCATCGCCCCAACAAGTTCAACTCCTCGAGGGGCATATTTAAACGAAATTTCGAGAACATTATTTTTTTTCATGTCCCCCCACCTTTAAAGGTGGAGGCGAAGGAGATTTTTCGGAGTTTCTTCGGAGTGCCGGTTTAATTATAAAATAGACAAGATTTCCTACAATTCTGTCTAAAAATCACATTTCTAGCGCTTCTAGGAACCGAGATAGAGCG